ACATACTATCTCTGTATTTAAAATACTGTATTTAGTCACCGCTTGTAGTACACTTGAGTGTACTAGTGTATGAAAGATGGTTCAAGTGTACTACAAGTGGTAAATAAATATGTTTTTTTACATACAAAGATACTATGTTAAAAGCACAGTTTAGTTCATGTAGTCAAGGTGTCCCAAAATAGCACAGTTGAGTACACTTAGTTGATCTTAAGTTTATCTTAAGAAGTACTAAAGAATCATTTGTAGTATATTAAGTACAAAATGAGCACTTTAAGTACATTATGGAAGTGTCTGGGTGTTCCTGCAGCGAGACAGAATCCTTTGGGAATCCATGGATGTCGACTTGAACCGGCTTTCACAGACACACCAGTAATTTCATGATTCACGAGGGAAAGAAATGCAGTTCATCCAGGAGGAACTGATGTGATGTCTCTGAAGGAGCGTGCAGTGAAGATCCGCTCACAGCTGGAGCAGAGAAGGTGAATAAAGGGAAGACGGTTCATTCTTTCATAATGTAGTGTGCGATTGGTCCTACATCTCCCCCCCTCTGACCTCCTGCTCTTCTCCTAGCGTAGGCACGTTAGCGGCGGTGCTCCGCGAGCCCTGAGCGACCCGGGCGGCGAGCCCCGAGGCCATGGACGCGGTGCTGCCGGCTTTGGTGTGTGTGCTGCTGGAGCGGGCGATAGCGTGAACCCTGCGCTCCAGGACGCCGGTGTGATGCAGCGCTCGGCTCCCTGGGTCCTGCGCTTTACCCTCCAGGAAATATGTGAGCATCTGACCTTTGCCCTTCACGCTGACATTGCCACGACACACCAGATCATAGTCGCTCTGAAGCAGACGGTACGCTTCCTCCGTCACCTGGAAGATCAGCCATGCTCAAATCAATATACTGTACACACATTTATTTGTGCATGCATGTGTCATTATGTAGGTCCATAACATGTACTGTGGGTTATACACAGTTATGTAGCAAAATGTATGTACATTTATAACACTATTCTTTGTATTCTATCAAATTACAAAAAAACAGTTAAGGCTAATGCGAGGGTGATTCTATGAGAGGGACGGTAAACTTGACATCGTTCTCTCTTCTGACTGCCGTTATCAGTCTCTCTCAATTTTTTTCCTTTTATTAAAAGTCATGAAAACACTATCATGGATTATTTCTTTTGCTATTTGAGCAAATGGGAATGCAAAAATATATATTTGTGGTACTCTCCCATTCACTGCTCAAGCAATCACTTGCATGATATTCAGAGAATGCATGCATTATTGTGATATTCACACAGTCACAGAATTATATTTCGAGTGAATGTAGTACCTGTATCTTCCCAGGCACTCCGGTGCTGTCCATGCGGCTGGCCACGTTCACCGTGTTTCCCCAGATATCATACTGCGGCCGGCGGGCCCCGATGACCCCGGCCACCACCGGACCCACATTAATACCTGAGCATTCACACATAAACCATCAGAAAACATCCAGAACATTCACTGAGAATGAGGACGAGACAACACAGAGCTAAAGGTACAGATTTGCTAAAGGACCGGAGTCAAACACTGCACGTGTGAAAACATACCCACTCTCAAGACGAAGTCGTTATATGACTGATAGTTGATTTCATCCAGAACGTCAAACATCTCGATGGCGAAGTCTGCGATGGTGCTCAGGTGCTCCGCAGGGGATCTCTTTGCCTGTAAAGGAGTAAGCGAACGCTGTTCACAGATGCTCTGTAAGTATTACTCTGCATCATGTCCAGTGTGGCTGAATCAGTGACCTTGGTTCCGATGGTGGGCACCAAACCCACTGCTGCCATGTACGTGCTGCCGATGGTCTTGATCTTCTCAATGTCTTTATAACACTCTTTGTCCATCAGCTGCAAAATGGTAGAAATACAAAATGAAATGGATTCAGGTTGGATTGTCATTGCTTGAGATAAAAGAAGCATTAACTGAAACAGTGTCATTTTAACATAATTGAGATACTATTATAATTTTTAATGTTTTGAATAAGATTATATTTTTATATTTTCTGCTTAATGTTAAGAAATGACCTCGTCGAAGTCGGCGATGATCTCGTTGAGCAGTCGCAGGCACTCGACGCCCATGTTGTTTCCGTCCAGCTCGATATAGAAGTCATTAAAGTTGGGAATGGAAGCGAACAGCACCCCAACCTGAGCGTAGGACTGGTAATACAGATCCTGTAACACCAGAAGCACACCAGAAGCTCGGTGTTTATGACACAACATCACCGTCAAACAGCACTGCGGCGAGCTCTCACCATGTTTCTGGGGTTAGACAGCAGAAAGTGTTGAGCCACATGAACCGGCAGCAGGTTAAACAGGATCCTCTTGTTGTCCAGTTTGACTTTCTCCATGCCGTCTCTCTCCTCCTCCGCCTGCACACACACACACACACACACAGACACACAGACACACACACACACACACACACACACACACACAGACACACACGTTAGTTTTTATGGTTTATGAGGACTCTCCAGTGGTGTAATGATTGTTATACTGTACAAACTTTATTTTATATCACTCCACACCAACCCTGTTCAGTTTTAGTTTTAACTATAATACCCTGTTTTTTACTGCATTTTTGATCAAATAAATGCAGCCTTGATAAGCAGAAGAGACTTCTTTCAAAAACATTCAAACATTTTAATGTCCCAGCGACCCTACAGAGGATGCGCGGTGCTGAGAATGAATGGATGGCAGCGGTGGGAGGTTGTTGCTGTTGTTTTATGTTTCTGTGACTGCAGTGTCAGGAGTGTGTGATGCTCTGCTGTACCTGAGTGGCCCAGTGGAAGTCCAGGCGCAGCTTGAGCTCCATCTGTCTGGAGTGAAGGGCCAGAGTGGTGAAGAACATCAGCAGAGAGAGGACGGGCTCCAGACCACGAGCGCTCATCAACACCGTCCTGCTCTCCAAACACACACCATCACAGAGATTCAGCTCAAGCTTTTAATGGACAGCTCGTACACTACCAATCAAACGTTTCTGAACAGTAAGATTTTTTATGTTTCTTCTGCTCACCAAGCCTGCATTTATTTGACCCACAGTCCAGCAAAAGCAGTAATATTGTGAAATATTTTTAAAATTTAAAACAGCTGTTTTCTATGTGAATATCTGTTAAACTGTAATTTATTTCTGTGATCAAAGCTGTATTTTCAGCATCATTACTGCAGTCTTCAGTGTCACATGATCTTCAGAAATCATTCTAATATGCTGATTTACTGCTCAAGAAACATTTTTATTATTATTATCATTAATATTCAAAACAGTTGATTACATTTCTTCAGGATTCTTTGATGAATAGAAAGATCCAAAGATCAGCATTTATCTGAAATAAAAAGCTTTTTGTAACATTATACACTCTACCATTCAAAACCTTGGAGTCAGTATATATATATATATTGGGAAAGAAATTATAGAATTTAATACTTTTATTTAGCAAGGAAGCTTTAAATTGATCAAAAGTGATGATAAAGGCATTTATAATGTTACAAAAGATTTCTATTTCAGATAAATGCTGTTCTTCTGAACTTTCTATACATCAAAGAAACCTGAAGAAAATCTACTCAGCTGTTTTCAACATAATAATAATAATAATAATAATATATATATTTTTTAGCAGCAAATCAGCATATTAGTATGATTTCTGAAGATCATGTGACACTGAAGACTGGAGTAATGATGCTGAAAATACAGCTGCGCATCACAGAAATACATTACAGTTTAACAGAGATTCACATAGAAAAATGTGAAAAAAGTTATTTTAAATAGAAAAAAATATTTCACAATATTACTGCTTTTGCTGTCGTTTGGATCAAATAAATGTAGGCTTGGTGAGCAGAAGAAACATTACAGTACTTGGCGTGATTGGGCAGTCGTGGCCTAATGGTTAGAGAGTCGGACATGTAACCCGAAGGTTGTGGGTTCGAGTCTCAGGTCCGGCAGGAATTGTCGGTGGGACGAGTGCTCTCTTTCACCTTCAATACCAAGACTGAGGTGAGACCCTTGAGCAAGAACCGAATCCCCAACTGCTGCCCACTGTGTGTGTGCTTGGATGGGTTAAATACAGAGCCCAAATTCTGAGTATGGGTCACTATACTTGGCCACACTTCACTCACTAACCTTACTGTTCAAAAACTTTTGACTGGTAGTGTAGATTCTGAGCTTAGCTTTCATTGATCAGTAGTTGTGATGGTTTGTGTGTTTTCTGTGTATCCAGTGATTTCTCACCCCGAGGAGCGTCTGAATCCGCTGAGCTCCAGCACGGTGATGTACAGCACCAGCAGCAGCAGCAGCAGCAGGAGTTTAGACAGCCAGGACACTCGCAGGAACAGCGCCACGGTCAGCGTCCCCAGCATGCAGCACAGAAAGGCGTATTGCGCTCCTTCACACGGCAGCTCAGCCATGGTGCGGTTCAGGCCTGCGGACACGTCGATGATCACGATGGAGCGCGTGGAGTCAGTCGGCCAGAGCCACGGCATGCAGCCCACCTGACACACACAGAGAGAGAAAGGGTTTAATGAAGAAAAGATGTTTCATGTGTTATGAATCTCTGTGATTCTTCAGTCTGGATTGACTGAACCTGAGCACTAAAGTCAAGTCACCATTATTTATATTGCGCTTTTTACAAAGCAGCTTTACAGTATTAAACAGGCAAATAGTGCCTCTGGCCAGACGAGACCAGCTGTTTAATTCTAGGCTGCAACAAAGTCAATCTGAGATATGCAGCAAGTTCAGCTCCAGTAAAGTGATGTAAGAGTGAGTTACCACACAGGCCTGGGCCACGGCGTATATTAAGAGCACTATGAACACACACAGGACGGTCCGGATCTGTATGCTGAGGCACCCTGGAAAACACTGAGACACACAGAGACACAGAGACACAGAGATTAATGGTGGAAGATCAGCTTACGGATATGAACCAGTCAGCTTCTGGAAAAAATGTAAATGAAATGACGTGCACACAGTTATTTTTTGACTGATCTTATTGCATATGCATATGCAGGAGTTTCCCTTTCAGAGGAGAGTATTTAAATCAACCATGCAGCGTGATTTACTAAGGCTTCCTCAGTTTATTGGTATTTGTGTCGTTATTTAACACCCAGTAAAGCATGTTTTAACTCATTGTGTGTCTGTGTTGTTAGTCGATCACACACTTGATTATCATCAGCTCTGCTCATTTGCAACAATAATTTGTGCTGCTCTCGGTAGATTGTGTTGCTCATTATGGAAATGAGCTGCATCTGTGTTATCAGCAGAACGTTCCACTCTCATCTGTGTTTAGTAAATCTGGTTCATAAATAGTTAGAAATGAGGTGAAACTGAAGATGACACATGACGGTTCAGCTGGACTGGTGAGGGTGGTGTTGAGTGAGTTTTTACCTGAACTCTAGAGATGTGCAGGTACATGATACACACGACCAGGAAACAGATGCAGAAGACCAGCAACACCAACACGAGCGTCCCCCTGAGAACAACAACACAACACGAGAGAAAATAACAGTGAACGCTCAGAAGAGTGAGCACTGTGTGATGAGCACGCCTGCTTCTCTCACGTTCAGCTCTGACTCCACATTTCAGTCAAACTCGACGGTCACTTTCTGTGAAAACTACATTCAGATTCAACAGTCGGAATTAATTCAGTCCGATTGAACCAAAAATGGTGCATGTAAACATAGCCACTGTTTCTGTGTGGGATCAGGATCCGGTGTGATGGAGTGACGCTCTGCTGTACATACTGTGGCATGATGAGCAGGTAGAGGATGCCGATCAGAGCCGTGAGGACGAGAGACAGAAGCACAGCACCGGTGAAGTACTCGTCATTCAGCTGATGATACTGCAGAAACACAGCACACAACACGCTCAAACACTCACAGCTTACACATGCTGAAACACTCTGACCTCTTACAGCAGATCACATACACATGATTCAGCTCAAATCCACACACTCATCCCAGCAAACTCAGAACCAGTATTCCCACATGGTTATTTTTTGGGAACCAAATAGGAACGTTCTGGGAACTTTCTCTGTAGGTTCGTTTAATGGTAACCTAAAACCAACCTTTTGATCGGAAGAGTTTCGGAGGGCATTTACACCTGGTCTTTTCATGATCGGATAGCTATCCGATCAGAAAAAAACACATGAAGTGACCAGGTTTAAACAGGCCCTTAGTCACATCTAGTGTGGACAGACAAAATGCTTGTCACTAGAATCTTACTGCATCTTATTCTGGTTAGGACACAGTGTTACAGTGTTTGAATCACAGGGTCTTGCTTACAGTGCACACAGAAATGTGACCCTGGAGCACAAAAGCAGTGTTAAGTCGCTGGGGTATATTTGTAGCAATAGCCAACAATACATTGTATGGGTCAAAATTATCCATTTTTCTTTTATGCCAAAAATCATTAGGATATTAAGTAAAGATCATGTTCCATGAAGATATTTTGTAAATCTCCTACCGTAAATATATCAAAACTTAATTTTTGATTAGTAATATGCATTGCTAAGAACTTCATTTGAACAACTTTAAAGATGATTTTCTCAATATTTAGATTTTTTTGCACCCTCAGATTCCAGATTTTCAAATAGTTGTATCTCAGCCAAATATTGTCCTATCCTAACAAACCATACATCAATGTAAGGCTTATTTATTCAGCTTTATTCAGATGATGCATACATCTCAATTTCACAAAATTGACCCTTATGACTGGTTCTGTGTTCCAGGGTCACAAATCAGCACTGCGTCATGCACTGGGGTCCAAACCAGTCCTGTTTAGCACAGTAGCTCCCGGTTAAACTCAGCACAGGACTCTCACCCTGCGCTCTCGCTCTGAGTCTCTGTAGGTGAGCGTGAGGTAGTGCAGGTCGGCCGTGTCGGACTCCGTCTGCCGGGCCTCGATCAGACGGCTGATGTAGCGGTTGACCCGTGTCCCCGGGCTGCTCTGGGTCACGTTAGCCGCCGTGGAGGTACGGTTCCTCAGCTTCTCCGGCGCCGAGCGCAGCACCCTCCTCTGCCAATCACAGACACGATCACATGACCACATGATGAGGCTGTGAGAGTGACAGCATGAGCTGAACAGCAGATCTCAGACACGTCAGTATCAGCAGACACAGGGAAACCGCTCTGGATTCATTCAGCATTACGTGTTTTCTCAGAGTCTCATCATACCTTGTCCCCATCCTCACAGTTCATGACGTTGGAGAAGGGAATCTCAGCCTTGAACATCTTGCGGCAGTGCATGAGCTGCACCAGCAAGTAACACACCGTCTTAAACTTCATCTTTTTGGCAGGTTTGATGTCTGACAGGATCAGACCAGGAATAATCTGGAAAAACACACACAAACCGCTCAAATTATGTCAGTCATGCTGAACAATGGCATATATTTACAATAAAAAAAGACTGTAAAGCGCTGCCATCATTTATAAATTCATGCTGTAGCCTATTCTAAAATGACAAGTTACTTTTTGGGGAGAATTTATAATAAAGCCAAATGTGACCCTGGAGCAGAAAAGCAGTCATAAGCAGCACAGGTATATTTGTAGCAATAGCCAACAATACATTGTATGGGTCAAAATTATAAATTTTTCTTTTATGCTAAAATCATTAGGATATTAAGCAAAGATCATGTTCCATGAAGATATTTTGTAAATTTCCTACAGTAAATATATCAGAACTTATTTTTTGATTAGTGATATGCATTGCTAAGAACTTCATTTGAACAACTTTAAAGATGATTTTCTCAATATTTAGATTTTTTTTGCACCCTCAGATTCCAGATTTTAAATAGTTGTATCTCGGCCAAATATTGTCCTATCCTAACAAACCATACATCAATGGAAAG